AATCGATAACTTACTCCGTTTCCAAGCAATCGATAAAAATCGATATCGTTATCATGTTTTTTGGGCAATTTTGGTAAATAATAAGAGCTAGAGTCACCAAACATGATATATAGCTTCTAAAATAGAATATTTATATGCATTTGATGTTGGAAGAAGAGGGTTCAGGGAATCCCCTAGTCGGGAGCTCTCGACAAGAACCTCTTACTTGTTAAGTTGACAATTATGAATGCAAAACATAAAAGTTGCTGGAGTTACTTCGACAAGTACAAATATGTAAATATATTAAACGGAACTGCTTCATTTCATACTAGATAATGGTTCACAAATCGAACCGAACCGAACTGAACCTAAGAATATTGCCATGAACCGAACCAGCGAACACTTGTGTTATACTCTGAGCATAGCTAACTTCAACTGGTAGTCATTGTTGTCATTTTAAATTGTAAGATTCCATAGGTATTTGTTCATTTTAAATTGATTGAGTTAGCTCGTTGAATGACACATTCAGTTCCTGAATGCGGCACCTTTGTTGTATAATATCATAGCTCTGTCTTTGGAAACTGGCTACAACCCAAAAGATTTAACATTTAAATAGTAAACGTTTCTCTCTTCTTTATATTATCTAATAATATACGAAATGTCTATATTTTCGATTCAGTTTGCGGCTTGAACCAACTCCCAGCCTTTAGGTTCTGTTCGTGAGTCAGTTTGTGGAACTTTTTATATCCTTTTAAAGATGCGCACTTAATTTGACCTCTAAACCAATTGTCATCCACCAAAAATGATTAGATAAATGCAGTGCTTGAGTTTCACATAATAAGTACTTGTTTTAAAAGTAAGGTTTGGCTTAGGGCTCATAGTAAGCAATAAATCGCAATTCCGGGTTCAACTTGGTTCAAAATAGGTTTGCCAGATAATCTATAATACTACTCTATAATATAATTAATGTTAGCAATCATTTCAAGCGCAAAATATATATTTCTTTTACTTTGACCTAATTCTGCATTTTATGGGAACCTATTAGTCCGGCGTTGGCATCAATGGAAGGGAATCGATAAAAGTTATCGATACCAATTAATCAAATGCCAGCTGGAAGTTAGCTAGATATTTTGACTATTTTTTACACATCAGGTGCGCTTGTCCACTGAAATGTGAAAACTTGTTTATAATATTGTTTTACAAGATTTGCTAATTTCGAATTCTTTTGATGACTTTTTGGTTGTTTTTTTTTGTTTTTCGTTTTTGTTTATTGCTGTTGTTGTATGCCTAAAAGGTATTTGAGCGTTTGGTGTTGTTTGTTACCGCCGCTCGGCTTTCCCTTCTGCCGGCGACGGGCCGTCATTCCCAGGTGCCCAATTGATCGGAATCGGCGCACTTGGGCACGCCCCGGGTGAGACGCATTCGCTTACATAATGTCCAGCCCCATGTGACGTATTAATTGAACTTTATGGAACCACGCGTCGAGTCGTGTGAACGTTGCTGTTGCAGTTGCAGTTGTTGTCGTTGTTGACGTTGTGGTTGTTGTCGCTGAAGACAACTCCTTTTGCTCACATAACCGAATGCTGTTGGGTCTGAGATACTGGGCTGGTTGCTATGCTATGTTTCCCGACGCATATCTCGACGCGATTGGCAATCCTCCAATCGACGCTTGTCGATCGCAAGTGACCTGCTTTCTCTTTTTTTTTTTTTTTCTTTACCCACTAGCCATACCTGTTGCGGCTAAAACATAAAATAAATTGTAATGTTGGCTGTGGTTGTGGCTGTGGCTGTGGCTTTGGCATATTCGGATGTGGCCTGTCGACGATTCTGCAAAAGCATGTGTTAATTGTGGATGCTGGACAGTGACAGCTCGGACAGTGGATCACAGTTCAAATGCGCTCGTTCAAACAGGGGTTGAAGGGGAACTCCTACTCGGCGCTCACTAAAAGCTAAACGAGTTTTCGGCGAAAAACATTATCGCCGCTGGCTTCTTTTGTCACTTAACATGGCTTTGAACTTTGCTGTTAGAGGCATCCACATCCAAAAATCCACGTTCACATCACAAATGACGCTTAATGGCAATTATTAATGTACCAGTTTTTTATATATTTTTTTTGTATACTCGTGTTGCTTAGCATAACGTTAAATATGCCATATTACCTGTAAATAACAAGCCTTTGCTACAGCATCAGCCTCTTGGCTCATGAGTCAATGAGCTGTCCGGCCAGTTGGATAAAGATGCCACAACTTGGAACGGGTGCACAGCTCTATAATGAAGCAGACACCTTTATCGTTCTATATATGCGTTTATACCCAGAGTCCGTCTTGCATATTGGCAACTACAGAAGCTAGACACTAGAAATTTGATATAAATATTCACTTATACCATACAAAGAACGAGTTTGTAATTTTGTTGTCTCTCTATGAACCCATATTATCAAATTTCATAATATCGATTTTGAGACATGATTTGTTAAGCATAACTTGGAGATTACAAGAGCTGAGTACGTTCTTGTCTAATATACACAGATTGACACGGACTGCATGAGTTATTGTATATGCAATATAATTATAAAGTTGCGTAAGGAAAGGCTCGATTACATTATTATTCTACTTTTAATTAATCACATAACTTTGGCTACGAAACCTATTTATTATTATGATTGCCAGTTGATATCTTTACGATTATATAAATTGTTAGATTATGACAAACTCTTTTTTACTTGAGTGCAATAAAAGCTGATATGAAATTTAAATTTATATAAAAACAAAAAAAAAAAAACATATTTATGAGAGTGTCAAATGGATGCAAAAAGTTAAACTATTTAACTCGAAGTGCTCAGACTTACAAATATACTTTGTACAGAAAATAAGTGCTATGACATTAAACCTTTACTTTAGACACATATTGGTTTCTAAATATTAAATTGCTAAAAGCAGTCATTTAAGCTAAGAAAGTTTTTATTGTATTGATCATGTTGAGCTCATTTTAAGGTCTGCTTGATAGCCAGACAATAGTAGCAAAGCCTGTGTAAAATACAAGCCAGCTGAATGGGTTGATGTTAATTATTTGACATTGTCTTACTAAATACAAGACATACAAGATGATATGTGTAGTCCATGCAAGCTGTGCACACCGTGTAAGAAATGTCTATTACATTTTATTATGTCATTTATTACGGGCATAACTCATAAGCTTTTGACAGCTCCTGTCACTGGCGAAGCGATGCAGAGTTCAACGATATCTATCGGATGATCGATAGCGATAGGCGGTCTGATCTGGTTAATTAGACTGCCAACTTGGCCAGCTAACGGTATACAGGCAGCGCACTGCTGCCAATTTATTTGGCGCGAAAACAAGTTGCAATCGCAGTTCGTACACACACACACACATAGGCACACAGCTAAATGGAAATGGAAATAGGCAGGAAAATGTGCGGTTAGTGCATAGTTGGCAGTTTTCACTTAGCGCATTTTTCAAATTCGCAGCGCCTGTAAATGTCGTTAAGTCATTTTAAATGCCATTTACACAAATTGGCTATGCGTAATTTCCAATTGGTTTTTCATTTTATTTTGATTGCCGTGTTTATCTGTGTGCAGGCAGTCGCAGTTACGTTCGCATTCGCTTTGGCCTAGCCTCGTTGCTTTTGCTTTTGTTTTCCGCCCAATTGAATAATCGAGAGCATAAATAATTTACAAGTTGGATTATGAGCTAGAGATCTACGCCTGGCTGTACATTTTTAACGCCTTAATTAGTTCACAATTTACGTTGTTTTATTTTTAACCTTCTCTCCAATTAGGCAATTAACGCCAAGCTGCAAATTGCCTTAGCTCGAATTGGGGCTGCGAAACGTGCTGCGCATATGAATGAGAAGCGCAAAGAAAGGCTCAAATGTATGGAGCAAAAAATACTACTTATTTTAGAACTATTCTTAAGGCAGTTTCCACTTCTCAAATAATAGCTGACTGAAATGTTACCCAGCAATTAAAATGTAATCTCTCTGATGCTTAAAAATCCTACAGTTTATTAGATGTTTTTAGTTGTCCGTTTCTTTGTAGAGCTTTTAAAAATCAGACTATTGGCTGGGACACTATTTTCAAGCATATCGTTAAGCTGGCATACTTTTTGTAAGAATTTCTTCAAGACACTTTTTTATACAGAGCCGGGAATTCGAGCATACTCCGAGCATCACATATTCTGCTTTTTTGTTTTTTTTTGTGATTAGGTGTTTTTAGCACCTTAACTTGGATTAAGCTCGAAAGAACTTCAAGGTTCAAGCCACTAAACCAAATCGTTTGTACACGAATACCTAAGATAAAGGCAATCTTTGTGGTTGAACACTCATAATCAGCAAAAAAAAGATCGAAAATTGTATGCTTAAATCAAGTAATTCCGTTCTTGAAAGTACACTAAGACCAGCCTTAAATTATTCGCGTATGAAACGCTTATTTCAAGAATGACACTATGTGAACAAAAAAACGTGAATGCAGTTAATTCGTGTTTGATTTTAAGTTTAATTGAAATTTTTATAAACATATTCAGTATTGAATCAAGTCTTAAGTCAAAGTTATCTCAATTGAAGGCAATTGCACCCCAAAATAAAACTAATATAGTCTTAAATTATGCCCGAACGGGTTTTAAAACAGTTCAAGCTTAATCTGTAAACTTAATTCAACAACTTTTAACTTTAGCGTCGTCTTACTCGTTTCAGCGCTTGCTTGTTTTGCCCCACTGTGCGTTGGCTTTATTATTGACATTTTTCAAGCCCGAGCATAACAAACAATCTTGAGTTGGCTTTGAGTTTTCACAAATATTTCTCTTGTTCAAATTGCTATCCCAATTAGCAGATAGTTTTGTATTTGTATCTAATAATTATATGCTACATACATACATATATCGAAATCTGTGTCGGTTTTTGTTTTTGTTGAAGGTGGCCTTGCGAGACTGTAGTATGCCTTTATATTCTTGTATGGAAACGAGTTATACTAAAGTATTTATTCCGATTTATCACCTGAACTAGAACTACATGGAGAAGGATCTGGGCAAGGTAGTACTGTACACAACCAGCATGGGCATCATACGGGATACGTATGCCAAGTGCGCTAATGTCAAGCAGATATTGCGTACACTGCTCGTCAAGTTTGAGGAACGGGATGTATTCATGAGCATCGAGTATCAGCAGGAGATGCGGGATCGCATGCACCATGAAACGATACGGGTGCCGCAGCTATTCGTTGAGGGCCAGCACATTGGCGTAAGTATCTGACAGATACTCTTTAATTAAAGATACAAGTTGAATTGAGATATTGCATTTCTGCAGGATGCCGACACGGTGGAGCGTCTGAACGAGAGCGGCGAGCTGCGTCAACTACTGCGACCTTATAAGGTGAGCCAAGACTGGTTTAGCTTCAATTTGTCATCTGTTATCTGTTATCTAAAACTGATTCCTTGATCTCTATTTAGTCGCTGGCAACGGCGTACACCTGCCAGACCTGCGGAGGCTATCGATTGCTGCCCTGCCCCTCGTGCAATGGCTCCAAGAAGTCGGTCCATCGTAACCACTTTACCGCCGAATTCGTGGCCCTCAAGTGCATGAACTGCGATGAGGTTGGCCTGGTCAAGTGCCCGACATGCTAGAGTCCCCCTCTCCATTTTCCCATTTTCCCCCCCAACTGGCCGCCGAAGCTGATTAAATCTGATTTATTCACTCGCGTACCATTTTGTTTCGTTTCTAGTAATAATGCGTATTTACCCAAGAAATGTGTGCTTTTTTTTTTAATATTTTTTTTTTTTTTTTTTTTATATATGTATATGTATGTATTTTGTATATCTACTTATGCTACGAAGTGCAAATGTTATCGTTTGTTATTAACAGTTGTGATATTTAAGTCAGTTGGCTGCAAGTCTCGCATTTGGGACTTGGGAACAGCTCCAGAGCTGGCGATGTCCCTGGGATAGTTGTGCGATGAACTGCAGAATATATATACATATATGTATATACATATGTATTTATATACATAGTTTCTTATGTAAATCAAAGACAAATATATAAATAAAAATAACTTAAGAAGGCAAGCGCGCCTTTATATGGTGTTCACCAAATACTTATTGTACTGATGGAAATTAACACATTTTTAACAAGTAAGAGGCTCTAGTCGAAAGCTCCCGACTAGGGGATACCCTGAACCCTCTTCTTCCAACATCAAATGCATATATATATTTTATTTTAGAATCTATATGTCAAGTTTGTTGACTCTAGCTCTTATTATTTACCAAAATTGCCTAAAAACATGACATCGATTTTTATCGATTGCTTGGAAACGGAGTAAGTTATCGATTATCGGAAACAAACTCGATCTGCGCGGGAACTAGGAGCATCTACATTTAAAATTTCAGTCTCTAGCTCTTATAGGTTCTGAGATCCTTGCGTTCAAAAATACGGACGGACGGACATGGCTAGATCGACTCGGCTATTGATGCTGATCAAGAATATATATACTTTTTGGGGTCGGCAATGCTTCCTTCTGCCTGTTACATACATTTGGCTTTCGCACAAATACAATATACCCTTATAACCATTTTTAATGGGTTCATGGTATAAAAATCATCGAAAAAGTTTCAATTTTCGCACCGACTTCGATTTTGAAAAATATCTCCGCGCGGAGCTATGTTGTTTTGGAACGTCATATCTACGCGCGGAGTTATTTCGTTTTGGAACGTCATATCTCCGAGCGGAGAACTTGTAGTTTGTAGTTTGTAGCTTGTAGTTTGTAGTTTAGTTTGTAGTTTGTAGTTTGTAGTTTGTAGTTTGTAGTTTGTAGTTTGTAGTTTGTAGTTTGTAGTTTGTAGTTTGTAGTTTGTAGTTTGTAGTTTGTAGTTTGTAGTTTGTAGTTTGTAGTTTTAGTTTGTAGTTTGTAGTTTGTAGTTTGTAGTTTGTAGCTTGTAGTTTGTAGCTTGTAGTTTGTAGTTTGTAGTTTGTAGTTTGTAGTTTGTAGTTTGTAGTTTGTAGTTTGTAGTTTGTAGTTTGTAGTTTGTAGTTTGTAGTTTGTAGTTTGTAGTTTGTAGTTTGTAGTTTGTAGTTTGTAGTTTGTAGTTTGTAGTTTGTAGTTATGTCGTTTTGGAACGTCATACCTCCGCGCGGAGCTATGTCGTTTTGGGACGTCATATCTCCGCTTGGAGTTATGTCGTTTTGGAACGTCATATCTCCAGGCGGAGTTATGTCGTTTTGGAACTTCATATCTCCGAGCGGAGTGTTTGTAGTTTGTAGTTTGTAGTTTGTAGTTTGTAGTTTGTAGTTTGTAGTTTGTAGTTTGTAGTTTGTAGTTTGTAGTTATGTCGTTTTGGAACGTCATATCTCCAGGCGGAGTTATGTCGTTTTGGAACTTCATATCTCCGAGCGGAGTGTTTGTAGTTTGTAGTTTGTAGTTTGTAGTTTGTAGTTTGTAGTTTGTAGTTTGTAGTTTGTAGTTTGTAGTTTGTAGTTTGTAGTTTGTAGTTTGTAGTTATGTCGTTTTTGGAACGACATATCTCCGCTTGGAGTTATGTCGTTTTGGAGCGTCATATCTCCGCTTGGAGTTATGTCGTTTTGGAACGTCATATCTCCGCTTGGAGCTATGTCGTTTTGGAACGTCATATCTCCGCTTGGAGCTATTACCCGAGAGCTATTACCCGGGGTAGGTTCGAATATCAAAACTTTTTTGAATATTTTTTTGAAAATCTCGGGTAAATATAATCTCATTTTAAAATGTTATACCATTTTGAATGCGTACGGATCCCTACTATCATATGGCATTCATTAAAAAAAAGTTGTTGGCCAAAAAACGTTTCGCTTGCAAAGTCCACCTTTTTTGGAGTATCTCAAGTGAGATTCATTAAATTATGCTAAACGAAGTACTGTCCCAATCGAGCTCTCTCCACAGGATTTATTCAAGCCATATAAAAAGGTAGCTTTATCTAAATCAATATACTTACTTTGCATACCCAAGCCATTTGCATGAACATAATATTAAACAAGTAAGAGGTTCTAGTCGGGAGCTCCCTTCTCTTCTTCCAACATCAAATGCATATCTATTATATTTTAGAAGCTATATGTCAAGTTTGGTGACTCTAGCTCTTATTATTTACCAAAATTGCCCAAAAAACAGGATATCGATGTAGATTTTTGTCGATTGCTTGGAAGCGGAGTAAGTTATCGATTATCGAAAACAAACTCGATCTGCGCGGGAGGTAGGAGCACCTACATCTAATTTCAAGTCTCTAGCGGACGGACGGACGGACGGACGGACGGACAGACAGACGGACATGGCTAGATCGACTCGGCTATTGATGCTGATCAAGAATATATATACTTTATGGGGTCGGAGAAGCTTCCTTCTGCCTGTTACATACATTTGGATTTTGCACAAATACAATATTTCCTTATACCCATTTTTAATGGGTTCAGGGTATAAAAAGAAAGCTGGTATTTCAAGGGAATGTGGTTAATTACAGAATGCTGCAAAACGCCTCAAAAATCGTTGCTAAGGAGGTAAAGTTATAACTATAGATCTATAGATAGAATTATAACTATATATATATGATATATGATATAGTTACGAGCAAGCAACCAATTTTATCGCACTCGCTGCAACAGCTTTAACTGCATTTATGTAGCGGGGATTCGCTTGAATGTCTGGGTTACATAGACGCTTCGTATCTCGTTTTCGTGTTTTTTTTTAATAGAAGCTAATATCATATATATATTATGCCTTGGGCAATCCCAGGACTTCACCGATCCACCAAAACGCTAGGTAGAAGCTATGCAGCTCCTTGCTAAGATGTTGGGATGGCAGCGAAGTTTACCCTGAAGCGTTTTGATGGATTAAGTACCCCGCTCTGGAAACTCTCTAGGTCCACTTGAGAACCCTATCGCGTTTGTACGATATCTGACTCGCCTGCAATGGATGTTGCGCTTGCGCAAGTAGACAACATTTGAAAGAGTTTATTGCATGCTTTTGGGCTGAGTAAGAATATGTAATGCGACGATGCACGGTAAAAAATCGTGCTTTGCTAAACCCCTTTAAAGTTTTCAATGTTGGAAATAAACTCTTGATCGAGTAATGGGCCAAGCATCTGAGCATGAGTTAAGGGCTTAAACTCACGGACAAATATATTGTAGAAAACTGCTGGCTTTTTTTTTTAAATACACTTTTAATCGTGCGTACCTAACACATGGCTACTAATATGTTGTCTGAAGTTGACGAGCTTTACAAAAACAATTTCGTTGACAATTCCTATTGGAAATAGTTAATTTGACCCATGCAAAGGCAATTTCTACATGTCTTTCATATATATGTATATCTTATCAATAATCATTTATTTAATAAAAAAAAAACATATATGTTCTGCCCAGCGAGCAATTGTATGATAAAATGTGTTGCATACCTTCGGGCTGAAATTTAAATTAGACAGTCTGTATGAGTAGGCCGAACAGTTGGTGTATTTAAGAGACAACATATCTAATGTTTGGAAAATGTAAATGCACATATTGTATTGAAGAAACAAATACTATTGGGTAACAATGCAGCCTAAAATGGAAATTTGCTAATGGAAATATGTATTTTGATCAGGAATTCAGGTCTAAGTCTCGGATTGCTGTCTTAGGTTCCCCCATGAACCTAGATTTAGTTTCGAAGTGAAACATTTCATTTCATTAAAATTTATTGAATCTAGACTATTTTTCATTTTCTGAATACTCAAAATGTGGTTAGCTCTTTCTCAAAAACTCTTTTCTGTTTTTTTTTTTTTTGTAATATGGTGGCAACTAAAACGGTTTAAAGGTTGTTTCATTTAATAGATAAGCTCGAGCTCGTACCAAAGCTAAGGGAAAGGCGTAGGGTTGCCGTTGTGCCGTATAAAATGTATTTCACCCGTTTCGTGAGCTCAGAAAACTTTGAATCGTATGATTTATTGGGGTTTTCAAATGCTTAAAAAAATACTATGAAATTGTGTTAATTGATAGTGAATCGCAGTTATTCTTAGATTTGTTGGGATTACGTAGAGATTCTGCTGGGTCATCAGCTGCTTGATTTGTGTAGGGTGTAGGGAATATGGCGTGAGTATTATTTAATTTAGAGCGGCTGCTGAAAAACATCGCACGCCTTGCCGAAAATTTTAATCTCTCTATTTTTCTAACTCTTAAATATTTATATTTTATTCTGCCTGGTAATCGCAATCGTTTCGAGGCTGATTGGTTAATTGACATGACTGGTCAAGGGCTTGTTCCAGAGCTTGGCGGGGAGCTGGAGTCGTTAGCGCGAGAATCGGAGCGCACCTGCTGGATATGCTTTGCGACTGAGGCGGAAAACCGTCTGGCCACCTGGTTGCATCCGTGCCAGTGCCGCGGCAGCACCAAGTGGGTGCATGAGAGCTGTCTTTATCGCTGGATCGACGAGAAGCAGAACGGAAACTCGCGAACGAAAGTCTCCTGCATGCAATGCCGCGTGGAGTACATCATAATCTTCCCCAAGGTCAGCCGTATGGCCATGATCCTGGAGCGCTTTCAGGATCTAGTCCGCCAATGCAGTCCGTTTGTTGCTGCGAGCGCATTTCTCGGCTCCGTCTATTGGACAGCCGTCACATACGGCGGCATCACGGTCATACAAGTGTTTGGCCAGCAGCGCGGTATGGAGCTGATGGAGAAGGGTGATCCCTTTTTCCTGTTGATCGGGCTGCCGTTCATACCAGTCGCTCTGATCCTTACCCGTCTCATCCGCTGGGAGGACGCAGTCTTACGCCTCTGGCACAATCGTCACAGCATTGTACGCAAATTGCCGCTCGTTAACTGGTTGTTGAATGCCCGAACGAATCCGGCGACCCGTGTTGGGGATCCGGCTCCGCCGCCAGTTCCCGATGAGCCCGTCGACTTTGCCCGCATCTTTTGCGGCGCCATCCTATTGCCCAGCATTGCGACAGTGATGGGCAATGTCATATACAGGAACATGTCAGCGCCGCTGTATCGCACGCTGCTCGGCGGCCTCACATTCATCGGATTGAAGGGCATTCTCAAGATTTATTTGCGACAGAAACAATATCTGAACAAGACACGCCGTCACATCGTCGACTACACTGAGGAGAATGTGCGCACCTATATGTCAGCCGGGCAATCCCGATCTCAGGCAGATGTGCGACAATATGCCGGTTCCGACGACAATGAATCTGAACCCGATGAGGAGAATGTGGATGATGAGGTTCTGAATGAGGATGCAACCACAACATCGGAGCTAGATGATTCCGATTCCGATGATGTTAGAGATCATGTTGTTATAAGCGTGCCAGACCGTCCATACACATTGTTTCTTAGCTAAATTGAAGCATGGTTCTAACCAGACCAGGCAGCGGAATGCCTCCAATCACAAAACTTAGTGTTCATGCATGGAAATTCCAAAGGGATATCACAATCTAAATTCTTTTGTGTTTTAATTACATAGTTTTGCTGCACTTATCCTAAACCACAAAAAGTTCAAAGTTGCTCTCTCTCTCTCTCTCTCTCCCTCCAACACACCTTTCCTTTCGCTCTCTCTCTCTCTCTCTCCCTCTCTCTCTTTCAACAACCATCAATCCTTGGAACCGCGCACAGAAGAACAAGGCTTTGGTCCCAAAAAGCGACAGGGCTTTTCAGCCCATAGAACTATAGGCTTGTAGCTTTATTTTAGATTTAAGGTCCACTCTTATATTGCAATTTTTAATTTACAAGCTTCTCTTATACTACAAGTATTACACAACAGTAAAAATGGAAAGTTAAGTCCGGTTGCGATCCGTCATAAGCCCATATTCCAGAGAATTGAACTTGGGAATGGGTAAGATGCCGTTATGCAGTCAATTTCAAGATTCAACTTCTGGGGTAAGAAAATGTCGTCTATAGATTTCTTTGTTCTCCTGGGTCTATAAATTGTGATCTTAGTTGTCTCCAGCACATTCTTCATGCTTCATTCTTGTTAACATATCTTTATACATACCATAATTATTTATTTTGGTATTTTAAAATATAGTTCTTAGATGAAATTTGGAAAAATGTGAAATTAATGTGTTGATTTTGGCGTTAGGAAAATACATTTTTCAAGGCCAACTTAAATATTAAAATCCAGCACATTTGGAATAGAAAATCAATTTGAAAATTCTAAGCGAACTCAAATATCTTAGGCGGAAACGAGAAATGATGAGATGCTCAGCAATTGCGTAGCTACCTTCAAATTGAAATGGAAATTAATATGTAGCATACTTTTTGGAACACACTAAAATGGATGACAAAATAAAATGGAAGATAAAATATAAAACGAATGAATTAGTAAGCGATATAAAAAGAGCTGGACTTATAGGAGTTATATAAAAGTATAAATATAAAAATAATTGAAGATAAATAAATATATGTGTATTATTCCCTAAAAAAGCTTCAGAAAGAGTACAAAAAAAGGCCCATTTAATTATTTAATTATGTTAAAGTTATGTTAAAAAAAATATATATTATTATTATTATTATTTTTTTATACCCTGAACCCATTCAAAATGGGTATAAGGGTATATTGTATTTGTGCGAAATCCAAATGTATGTAACAGGCAGAAAGAAGCATCTCCGACCCCATAAAGTATATATATTCTTGATCAGCATCAATAGCCGAGTGGATCTAGCCATGTCCGTCTATCTGTCAGTCCGTCCGTATGTATGAATGCAAGGATCTCAGAACCTATAAGAGCTAGAGACTTGAAATTTTAGATATAGGTGCTCCTAGTTCCCGCGCAGATCGAGTTTGTTTTTTTTCGATAATCGATAACTTACTCCGTTTCCAAGCAATCGATAAAAATCGATATCGATATCCTGTTTTTTTGGGCAATTTTGGTAAATAATAAGAGCTAGAGTCACCAAACTTGACATATAGCTTCTAAAATAGAATATATATATGCATTTGATGTTGGAAGAAGAGGGTTCAGGATATCCCCTAGTCGGGAGCTCCCGACTAGAACCTCTTACTTGTTGTAATATAGGAAACCAAATACTTAGCTTCAGCTATATATTTTTACTTGCTCAACTTTTTAGATGTCAAGGTGCCTTGGATAAAAAGTCGTAGTAGCCGTCGAGATGTCAGAACTGGGATTATATCATTATCACAGAGCAAGTCTAACAATTCGGTCGACATATTGAGAGAAAAGTACATAAAATTCAATATTTGTGAATTTTCTCTTAAATTTTATTAAAATTCACTTTGTGAGGCCTTTCGTTGTACAAAATTTATAAATTTATCAATTCGTTGCGCTTTTTGGCTTTACCAAGCTTTATTCAATTAACAAGTTAACGCAAAAATGTCGGACAATTCGGCGGTCTCCGGTATACTCAATGCGGTGCTGTGCGGCGTTACCGGATATGGATTCTATGCAATGCCCCCACAGAATCATCCGTATGCTTTCTCGGCCTGTTTGATTGGCTTCTGCCATGGTCTGCTGGGGCTGATCGAGTGCATCTCTGGCAGCGAACAAGTGAAGTCGGCCAGGGAGACGACCAATTCGATTCTGGAAATAGTTCCCTTGCCTCTTGTCAACATTGATATATTCTTTGGGGGCGAGAGCAACAACATTGCCCTGGGTCACGGCCTGTTCATTGTACCAATGGCCATCTCAGTGCTGGTCGGCCTGATCAAGGGTGAAGGTGGCGAGGGCGATGAAGCGGTCGAGACACTCAAGCTTCTGACCATTCTGGGTAACATAACATCTCTCTGCTACCTTGCCATCAACGAGGGTAGCTATCACATGGGCGGCATGGCCTTCCTCGCGTTCATGGCCAAATATGGTTCTGAATTCCTGGAGACTCAAGTCGAGGGCTCTGGGGATCCGATCAAGTACATCAGCTGGTCCGGATTCTATTTACTTACCAGCTTTGCCATTGGCAAGAAGTAATCAACCCGAATTGTTTGAGAAACGCATCACATAAAATACACAAATACTAAAAAAAAAAACACGATTAGACCCAATTGAAAAAGTTGAAATGAAATTTGGATGCTTATGGACTTGCACATTACTCGGAATAGCGAAGTGATAATATGATTAATATGCGACTTCCATTTGAATTAAGTTATTAAATAATTTGAAGCGAATCTTAACTGCGACGTCTTTTACTTTCGGCATCTTTTACTTTGTTTGGACTCGGCCGTTTCTAATTCTTTCGTGTAATTCTTCCTCTCAATATACGTAAGCGACATAGGAAATTCGATGTTATTAAGACATGTCCGACAATGGCCCTCAGCCTAATGGACGCCAAGGGAAACAAAATAACCACCAAGGATACATAAACAAGAGGTTCTAGTCGGGAGCTCCCGACTAGGCGATACCCTGAACCCTCTTCTTCCAACATCAAATGCATATATATATTCTATCTTAGAAGCTATATGTTATGTTTGGTGACTCTAGCTCTTATTATTTACCAAAATTGCCCAAAAAACCGGATATCGATATCGATTTTTATCGATTGCTTGGAAACGGACTCGATCTGCCAGGGAACTAGAAGCACCTACATCTAAAGTTTCAAGTCTCTAGCTCTTATAGGTTCTGAGATCCTTGCTTTCATACATACGGACGGACGGACAGACAGACAGACGAACATGGCTAGATCGACTCCGCTATTGGTGCTGATCAAGAATATATATATTTTACGGGGTCGGAGAAGCTTCCTTCTGCCTGTTACATACATTTGGATTTTGCACAAATACAATATACCCTTATACCCATTTTTAATGAGTTCAGGAGTGTAAAAATAATCACCTGAAGGCACTGAGAAGTTGTTCCATCCTCAGCCAAGCTGGTTCAAGTGCGAGCTAGATTAGACTAATTGGACAACCTGGGTGCTATAAAATGGTTTCTGGGCATGTGGTTATACAGAATGTGAGATTGGTTCTTAATCATTTTGTGTCATTTTGTGAAGACACAATATTATCATTAACATGCTTGTGTCGCTGTACAAGTTCAAAGGTAACACGATTCAGAAAACAAGGTTGCAAGCCTTGTCCCGGAGTTACAAGAGGTCTTGAGAGTAATGAATGGGAAACATGCTGACCTAAAACTGTTCCTTGTTTTATATGCGTGAAAGAGAATCTTCCCGTAACAGAGAATTTCGTTCCAAGTCAGCTTAGCACTGATTGACATGAAATTTAGCAATATATGTTTTCGTTGTGTAGAGGCTATGTCAGCTATGTTCTTTCCGCAGGCTACTGACAACTTTGGCTAGTTGGGCTAGCCCAATACAAAGGAATACAGGGGAAATAAATAGGGCTTAGGACATTATTGATGGTATTTGATATGCCTTTCATTGTTGTCTAGCATTTGCAGTAGTTTCATGCGGTAAAAATTCTAAAGACCTGAAGAGCACTTGGGGGCATCAATTTGCGCGAACTCACTCCGAATGGGTGTGAGTGCGTACGGCGGGTGTTTCGTCCAGCGCTAGCTCGTTTTTCAAGTGTATTCAAATAGCCATAATCATCTTTTTGGGCAATGTAATAAATCTAATTTCCCACAATGGGCCGGATCGATGGACTGGAAGGGTTCAATAAACGAGCCCAATATACTGTTTGGAGTCTGGAGTGGTCGCTACAATTGAGTGGCATTTGGTGTGCGGTGACCCGGATGTACGAGTACTGCCATGTAAGTACATAACTCTTAATGTATGAGTGTGTACGCGTGTGTGTGAGAGCCCGTATCGATGTATATATGGAGCACATAAAACAATGTGCTCGCATGTAATGCCTATGTCTGGACTTTATCGTGGGCCAGTTAAATCAATGTCAAAAGGCAATTGGTTGACTGCAGATGACTTCATCGCACCATACACGGGCCTCTAAGCCTTTTAGCGCATGCGAGGCTTATGGGCTTAGGTGCCACTAACTATGGAACTGGAGCTGTGCTGTAGCTCCAGTAGCTCGGGCCAAGACAAAGACGGCCAATTACTTATGATAACAGACATTTTTGTAACAACCAGTTCTTGATTTTACGTTTCGTCAGCTGCCAATCAAAGTTTGTACATAAAACGTTCGGCCAAAAAAGTCGAGTCTACCCCAACAAAACGCTGGCATGTACCAGCTTCAGCTACCAGCTCCACTTGGGCTCCATTTCCACTTCCACTTCCATTCGCCGCAACATAAGTCATAAAATCAACAATAAACAAGCTCAAGACGCAGCTAAATGACTTTACAACGACAACTTTGGGGCGTCATGGTCATTGAGCACGGTATGTGCAGCTCCGGGCCAATGGACGTGGGGGCTATCCGGGCTGTGCGGGTGGTTGTGCGTGCTACACGACGCGTGTTGACATTAGCTCTTAAAATTTATTAGTTTTTATTGTCATTGCGGCTAGCGTTATGGGCTTAGGTTGGGCCAAGCCTATGGTGGGGTTAATGGGATATCGCATACAGACATTGTCAAGTCATTGCAATAGTTATCAATATATATGTAGCACATATCACAACATTCCACAACTTCTGCCATAACCAAAAACAATGATGAAAAGTAACAACTATTGCTGACCTTAACACGGCTGATCTTGATATATAAAGATGTATTGGAAGACTCTGAACTGATTACTCTGCAGTCCCTATTATCACAAGGGAATCCGAACGATCTTAACATGTAGGTCTAGTTAAAACATATAAATTTCATTCATCAGATAATCAATCCGATAACCCAAAGAGAGGAGATTAATCGTAAGAAGTCTAAAGGAATGCTACGTTTAATCCACGGAGGTAAGCGAACAAGAATTGTTTCTCTACCGATTTAATTATTTCTTGATATTGCATTGACTATTTTTTAGATTTATTGCATGAGCACAGCTCAAGAATGGGACGGTTAAGCGATATAAACAGGGGCTTTGTACGTATCGATAAAATTCTTGGCGTCCAATTAAAGTTAAAGATCAAGAAAACACCTAGATCATTATCTGGGTCACCGATAAAGCATTTATGCTGGCAACTGATTACCACAGGGCAGAAATCGACTACAATTAATAGTTTTAAAATGCGCGTGGAATAATATATATGTATTCACGTTATAAAATGATGTTTGTAAAGAATTTAAGAAAGAGCAGGGAATGATACAAAATATATATTCTTGATCAGAGTATACTATAAATATCAAATGCGGAGTCTCTTGCTTTTAAAAACTAGCGCTCTGGAATGAGAAGGGAGGGTTTACCATGAGGGTCTACCATAGGGGCTTACCATGACGGTCTACTTGGAAACCTTATCAGGAGGGTCTACCAAGAGGGTATAGTTGTAGAAGGGTCTATCAGAAGGGACTAGCAGAACAGTCTAGTATGAGAGCCTAACATGATGTTCTATCAGGAGGGTCTACCAGGAGGGTCTAATTGGAGGGTCTATCCGGATGGTCTAGTAGGAGAGTGTACCAGGATGGTCTATCAAGTGGGTTTATTATGAGGGTCTACTATGAGGGGCTACCATTAGTGTCTACCGGAAAAGCTTCCCAGGAGGGTCTACCATAAGGGTCTACAATGATGTTTTTCATGATGGTCCATCAGGAGGGACTTTTAGGAAGGTTTACAAGGAGGTTATACCAGGAAGGCATGCAAGGAGGGTATAGGAAATCAAATTTGAAGTGTTTTCTAGTATCTCAGATACATTTGCACAAAAATATGATACCCTTTCTAATGTATTGAATGCATTCGATAATATGTTCAGTTGGTCTAAATTTCAATCGGAGCAATGCTACGTAATTGCCCGAATTCCCCAGGGCGACCCAGAACTGTTGCTAGGCGGCTTTAGCTTTCGATTATTTCTATATTTTGCTTATCACGGATAGCGTTATCTGAAGTGCGGCTGCTGGTGCTGTCAACGCACTCTTGAACATCTTATCTGGGAGTATATCATATATAAGTGCTATATTACCAACACAAATAACAGTTAGAAGAGCGGGCCGTCAGCTCGCTGCAATCATATTTGTGGCATTATTTATTAGATCGTTTCTTGACATCAGACCACAATGGAGAACGATTCTGTTCTGGGTTCCGTTCAGTGGGCCCTGGCCTGGTCTGGGCTGGTATGGACATGGGCATGGCCATGGGTATTGGTATCGCTCTTATCAGCAATGCTCCAGTTTTCGGTTGCCTCTTGGGCTGCACGTATCTAATTTATATATTTGAGAGGCTCTTTGGCGCGTGCATGTTGGCATTGGAATTTTGTTTGAATTTCCATTTGGTGATTAAAAATAAAAATAAAAATTGGAGTCGCCACGCGTCAAATATCATTTATTACTTTCGAATGTGTATCAAACAAAATTAATTGCACCGCCCAACTTGGAGTGACATGCACTTTGATCAAATTGAAAACAACTGAGGGGCGGGCAGTTATTGTTATTGTAAACTTGATTGTTAATAATAATTCACAACAATTGGGCAATTCAATATTTTATGTGTGCCACCGATTTGGACGCATTTAAAGTCGATCGATACTCTTTACCATCCGCACACTTTATTATTGTCCGCATGTTTATTTCATAGGGCCCACTGACGACTTACTGGCCAAAAGCATTAACATTCATCAGACATTCCGGTTTCTTAAGCCCCGCCAGCCTGGACGAGAAGAATGCCGGCAGAGACGGAAGACGCAGACAATGACGATGACCCATAACGAGCTGTTGGCCAAGTTGTTGGATCGTAAACTTCTCGCCCCATGGCAAACAAATCGAAAACTTAAGAATGCGAATGCTGTAAACTTTTTGGAATTAGAATGTAAAGTGAAAGGAGTTCTGCAGGTTAAAGCCATGCCAAGACGCGAAAAAGTAGCAGACAAAAAGCCTGCAAAAGACAGCTCTGGGATTCCAGAGCCAGTGCCAGTGCCGGTTTAAGAATGTGCTGGCTAGTCTCTTGAGGTTGAGGGATGAAGGGGAGCTGCTGCTGCTGCTGCTGCCGGTAGGTAGCTGATGAGCTGTCTCTACTATGTATCTCAGGTTTTCCTTCTCTTGACTTCATCCGGCTTTGGCTTGGCGCTGTCT